TTTGCTTTTTATTATTTGTAAATAAACTTCTTGAAGCCTCCGGGTGTGGATTCAGTGCTCAGGACCAGGGGAACATGTGGCTCTGCTCTCCCCCCTGCTGGCCCCAGCCAGGGGGGCCCAGAGTGGCCCCGGGAAGGGCGTTGGGGTGAGATAAGTCTCCGTTCATTGTTTGTTTTCCGGCCCAGTGGCTCCGGTGACCGTGGTCAGCGCTGGACACGCCGCGGGCACGCGCAGCCACTTGGGCCACTGCAGCTGCCACCACGGCCAGGAGTGTCCCCAGGAACCAGCTGTGCCAACACAGCCAGGTGTGCCACCAGGGACAGGTGTGACACCCCATCCAGGTGTGACACCCCATCCAGGTGTGACACCCCATCCAGGTGTGCTACTGCAGCTGCTGGCACGGCCAGTAATGCCACCACGTCCCCAGAGGTGCCACTGCAGCCAGATCTGCCACCAGAGTGAGATGGGACACCACAGCCAGGTGTGCCACCAGGGACAGGTATGCCCCTATAGCTGCCAGCACATCCAGGTGTGCCACCACATCCAGATGTGTCACTGCAGACAGGTGTGCCACCACATCCAGATGTGCCACTGCAGACAGGTGTACCACCGCAGCCAGGTGTGCCAGGGTCACCAGGATCAGCTGTGCCAACACAGCCAGGTGTGACACCAGGGGACAGATGTGCCACTGCAGCTGCCACCACAGCCAGTAGTGCCATCACATCCAGGTGTGCCACCACATCCAGATGTGCCACTGCAGACAGGTGTATCACCGCATCCAGGTGTGCCACCACATCCAGATGTGCCACCACATCCAGATGTGCCACCACAGACAGGTGTACCACTGCAGCCAGGTGTGCCAGGGTCACCAGGATCAGCTGTGCCAACACAGCCAGATGTGACACCAGGGGACAGATGTGCCACTGCAGTCACAACCACGGCCAGTTGTGCCATCACATCCAGGTGTGCCACCACATCCAGATGTGTCACTGCAGCCAGGTGTGTGCCACTGCAGCTGGGTAACCATAGCCAGATGTGCCACCACATCCAGGTGTGCCACCACATCCAGATGTGTCACTGCAGCCAGGTGTGTGCCACTGCAGCTGGGTAACCATAGCCAGATGTGCCACCACATCCAGGTGTGCCACCACATCCAGATGTGTCACTGCAGCCAGGTGTGTGCCACTGCAGCTGGGTAACCATAGCCAGATGTGCCACCACCACATCCAGCTGTGTCACTGCAGCCAGATGTGTCACTGCAGCCAGATGTGTCACTGCAGCCAGATGTGCCACCCTGGCCAGGTATTCCACCTCTTCTGCCACCACGACCAGTAGTGCCATCACACCCAGGGGTGCCACCACAGCCCTCCTGTGCCTGCAGCCACCCCGCGAGATGGGCAGGGCAGCCGAGCCCCTCTGGGGTGGTGCTGTGGCCCTTGGTGGTGTTCCCAAATCCTTTATTCCCTGTGTCCCTCTCCTTTTCCACGTCCCTTCCCAGTTCCCCCAGTAAGCACACACAGCGCGGAGTGTGGCGCCGCCTGGTGGTCACTCTGTGTACACACAATTATTTGTCATTTAATTAACTTTCTTATATATAAACCACATCTACACTACATATAGATTTATATAAATATGTATATATATGTGTATATGTGTATGGAGAGGGTGAAGAGAGATATATGTGTGTATATGTATATGGAGAGGGTGCAGAGAAGAGAAATGAGGCTCAGGGAAGATCTTACCACCCTCTACAACTCCCCTGACAGGACGTTGGAGTCAGGTGGGCGTTGATCTCTTCAACCAGCAGGAGGACAAGAGGGCACAGACTCAAGCTCTGCCAGGGGAGGGTTAGGTTGGATATTAGGAAGAGATTTTTTACAGAGAGAGTGCTCAGGCATTGGAATGTGCTGCCCAGGGAGGTGGTGGATTCACCATCCCTGGAGGTTTTCAAGCTGAGACTGGATGTGGCACTTAGTGCCATGGGCTAGTAACCACGGGAGGGTTGGAATTGATGATCTTGGAGGTCTTTTCCCACTTGGTTGTCTCTATGATTCTATGTACACAATCCTGTAATGTCTGTGCATTACACACACACACGTGTCTGTGTGTCTACACATGTCCCCATACACCTATATATGTGTGTTTACCTCTAAAAACACTTCTGTTCTATCTACACCCAGCACCAGCCCTGCCAGGAGTGGGAACAGCCCCCAACCTCCCCCCTCCCCCCCACAGGGCCAGGCAGCTCTGACTCAACAGGAGCCAGCAGGAAATGTTGGAATGCTCAGGGCAGAACTATGGTTGGAATGCTTAGGGATGCTCCAGAACAGCCAGTCCTGCCCTGGGCTGGAAAACACCAAGCTCGAGGTACACACTGAGGTCATGCTCTTCCCTCTGAAATCTGATCATGTCCTTGGCCTTTATCTCATCATGATTCCTTCAGATCCCCCAAAAAATCCCCCAAAGCACCTGAGATTCCTCCAGGCCAATCCCAGCTTGACCCTCTGGGTATCATTTGAGAACCACAGGGAAGGAAACTTCGGCATTTGGTCGAATGTTTCTGTACCTCAGGAGCTTCCAGACCCTTATTTTCTGTAACTTGGCATGAAATGTGTAAGAACCAGCCCCGGGAAAGCCTGGCCAGCCCTGGGAGAAGGGACACAGGCACAGGATGTGTCCCCTGGCCCCATGAGGGGGGACAGGAGTCACTTAAGTGTCCCCACGAGCCACCCCTGGACACACAGACCACGTGGCAGCTGGTGCACATGGTGTCTTTTATTCCCAAGCTGTAAAAACAGGCTCTGAACCGTGTCCAAATTTGGCTTCAGCAGAGACAAACCATTGGCAATGGGGGTGGATGGTCCTGTGTGACTGCAGCAGTGCATCCCATTCCAGGAGAGAAACCCTCAGGAAAGCATTCCCAGCACAGCCAAGGGGCTGCCTGTGCTCCTGGGGCAGTTGGTGAGGAAAGGAAGGATGAGCTCTGCCTTTCCCATCCCTTTCCTGCTGCTCCCCAACCAAGACTCAGCTCTTCACCCCCAAAACTGGGGATGTTCTGCTGCAGCCACTACCCAAGCAGAGGGATGAGGTCGGAATTTGGGTCTGGCAAGGGATCTAAGCACTCCCAGAGCAGCATGGCACAAACTACTGGTTTGGCTGTCCCACCCTGTGCAGTTTGGTGTGGAGACACAGCGTGGGGGACAAGGAATCAAAGCCAGGAAGACCCCAGCAGGATTTGGGGCTCCTTGGGTGGAGGAAGAGGTTGGAAATTTGGCGCAGGGGGAATCTCTTGGCAGGCTTAGCCTCATTCCAGGGTGAGGATGAGGATGGCTGAGGCTTCTCAGTGCTGCCAGCCCTGGGAGGAAGGTCAGAGCATCCGAGTCACCACCATGGTGAGGAAGTCCTCGTAGCTGAGCCGCACGTTGCCCACCAAGGCCGTGTCCTTCTCGCGGAAGGCGTCGGTGGTGCTCTGCAGCTGCATGCAGATGTGGATGAACCTGTCCAGCTGGATACTGGGATTGGAGGATCTCTGGGCATAACGAGCCATCAGCAGTTGGCTGAACTGAGGGCTCAGGCTGTAGCCCATCTGGGAGAAAGCTGGGAGCAAAGAAACACTTGGATGAAACCTTCCTGATGGGAGAAAGAGTAGCTGTGCCCTCCTCCCACCACGGTGTTCCTCCTTCCCACACTTCCCACTGAGGGTGTGCACAGGCAAGGCTCTCCCAGAGGGAGGAATCCAACTCTGGCACAGATTCCAGACATTTTTCCCCTCAAACACGCCCAAGAGCTCCTCCCAGAAAAACAGGCTGGAGCCACATACCATTTTGGGGGGAGGAATTCTGGGTTTCCTTAAGGAAGGAAGTTGTGCCGCAGCTTTGCTGCAGCTCAACATCTCCCATCCCACGGGAAGCTCATTCCCTGTTTTGCCACGGATAATATATCCAGCCCAACATTCCCAGGCTGCACTGGAAGCACTCCAGGAGCTCACACACCCCCAGTTTGGCTGCAGGGAGCACACCAGGAGGAGTCACCAGGACAAGCTGGAAACAAACCCCGAGCAGAGCCAGGCAAACACCCTGGGGAGGTCAACATGGGCTTGCCCACCTTGCTGGAGCTCGTTGAAGCTGATGGAGCCTGACTGGTCCCTGTCATACTGCTGGAAGAGGTTTTTCCACTGCTGGATGAAGCGGAGCAGCTCTGAGAATCCGTACACGTCGATGCGCCCCGACCGCGTCTTGTCGAACATGTCTGGGACAGGAAGGAGCAGGAGAAGAGCAGTGAGGAGTGGAAACGCTGCAGGAACCCCCAGAGAGCTCAGGATCTGTGCCACAGCTCCCTGGCTCCAGCACCAAAATCCCACCCACACCAGAACTGAGATCGACTGGATCCTTGAGGCTGGTAAGAAACGGCACCGAAACCTGATGTTGGGATGAGCTCTAGGCTAGAGCTTTCACACTGCTGGAGCTCTTCCTCCCTTTCCTCCCTGCCTGTCTGGGATATAGGGTTCACTCAGCCTTGGGCAGAGCTGGGATTCCCTTTTCCAAGCAGGATTTGGGGCTGCTGACTCATGTCCTCCACCAAAAAGGCGCTGGGAGCTGCTTGGTTTGCCCAGCTCTGTCTGCAGCTGCTCAGGGGAGCAATGCCCAGGGAAGAGGGGAATGCTGCAGGGATTGGCTTCACCCCCACTGAGGAAGTGAACCCCAAACACATCAGATTCAAAGCAGGAGGAGGGGGAGGAAATCCCAAACTCACTGATCATCAGCAGACAGGTCTCATCGTTGAACGACGACCAGTTGTTGTTGACCAGCGCCTGCTTCAGCTCCTTCACGGAGATGTATCCACTGTGATCAACATCCACTGTCTGGAACCAGGAGAAAGCCTCGGGGTCCACACCTGGGGGCACATTCCCTGCACGGGGAGAGGCCATCAGTGCTGCCAACCCCTCGGAGAGGTCTTTTCCTGGGCTGTCCCTGAGGGTGGCTCATAGGGATGTGGCCAACACCCAGGGCCAGTCAGCACTTCTGCTCCACGAGGGATTTACAGCTGTGGGATCCTGGGAAAACAGGCCAGGGAGGGCTGGGATGGGCACATGGGTGCTGAGAAGGAGAAATCAGACCCTCCTGGAGATCAGGGATGGATTGGGAATCCCAGTGCTGCCCCACAAACCGCTGGGAAACAGGTGGGGGTGTAAAGTTTTACTGGGAGTGCTCAGGGCTGTGACCTCCTGACACTTCCTCCTTCTCCTCCTCTTCCTTCTTCTCCTCCTCCTCTTCCTTCTCCTCCTCCTCCTCCTCCAGGATTTTGAAATAATAAACTGGGGCTTTCATTCATATGGTGAGTTCTGCTGAGCTGGGCAATGGGTAGCTGAGATAATCCCTCCTGGCACGGAGTGGGGTTGGAGACCCCCTAAACCTCCTCCTCTGTCCCAGTGACTGCCTGGGGACCCCCCAAACCTCCACCTCTGTCCCAGGCAATGCCTGGGGACCCCCCAAACCTCCTCCTCTGTCCCAGGAACCAGGTTAGGGACCCCCCAAACCTCTACATCTA